AACACTGAGTTTGGAGAGGGAAAAGCCATGCTGCGCTCGAGTATGTGCCTTCGTGAAGAAATCAACCAACTGTAACTCAGAGGGCACATAGTGAAGAGCGAGAGTCTGATCCTGTACAACATCACACACAAAGTGGGCATCCACACCGATGTGCTTGGTGAGCTCATGCTTCACCGGGTCACGCGCAATACTGATACCACCTGTACTGTCTGACAGTAGGGGAGTCGAGGTAGTAGCAGACACACCAAAATCCTCAAGTAACCATCGTAACCAGATCACCTCAGCCGTCAACATAGCCATGGCTCGCAACTCAGCCTCTGTACTCGAGCGAGAAACTGCAGCCTGTTTCTTTGTCTTTCAGGCAATAAGAGAGCCACCAAGAAAGACACAATAAGCAGAAAGCGAGCGGCGATCAGAGGGATCACTAGCCCAGGTAGCATCAGAGTAGGCCTGGAGCTCAAGAGAGCTGGAGCGGGGAAAGAAAAGGCGCTGAGAGGTCGTGCCACGAAGATATCGTAGAACACGGAGGAGGTGACTATAGTGGACAGAGGTGGGGGCTGAAACAAACTGACTCAGGATGTGGACAGGGTAGGAGATGTCAGGACAAGTAACAGCAAGATAGACAAGGCTGCCAAGGAGGTGACGATAGCAAGTAGGATTAGGAAGAGGGTCACCATCCAAGGCACGAACCTGAACGTTGAGCTCCATAGGAGTCACAACTTTGCGCTCATCACCGAGAGCAGCGCGAGCAAGAATCTTGGGAGATGTAGAAGCCATTAGAGGTCGAGGGGATCTCAATCCCAAGAAAATAGCGAAGTGGACCAAGATCAGTCATTAGAACTAGTCTCGAAGGCGCGCCTTAACAAAAGGAATGTACTCAGAGTCGTCACCACTGATGATCATGTCATCAACATAGAGAAGGAGAAGAGTCCGACCACGAGGAGACGTGTGAACAAACAACGCGGGATCATGATCACTGGGCAAGAAACCAGCGGCAGTCACCATAGAGGCAAAGCGCTCAAACCAGACACGAGGGGCCTGTTTAAGACCATAGAGGGAGCGACGAAGTCTACAGACCATGCCATCAGGAGCATAGTATCCCGGTGGTGGCTGCATATAAACCTCCTCACGCAACTCGCCATTAAGAAAGGCGTTCTGGACATCAAGCTGAGAGATAGACCAATGACGAACAGAAGCCACAACAAGGAGAGTGCGGATAGTGGTCATGTGGGCAACAGGAGCGAATGTCTCATCATAATCGCGTCCCTGCCCTGCTGAAAACCACGGGCCACAAGACGAGCTTTGTAACGCTCAAGAGAACCATCAGAGCGAGTCTTGATCTTGTAGACCCACTTGCAAGTGATGGGACGAACACCAGAAGGGAGGGAAATCAGATCCCATGTGCCAGAGCGCTCAAGGGCAGCAAGCTCTTCGGCCATCGCAAGTTACCATTCAGGCTGAGTCATGGCAGTCCGATAGGAAGTGGGCTCAGCAATAACAGAGAGACCGTACCGATCAGGAGAATAGCGATCAGGCGGAGGGCGAGGCCGAGCACGGAGGTTATGAACCGGGGTAGGCGTGAACGGAGGTGCACCAGAGGTGGAAGGCGCGTCAGGCATGTCAGGGGAAGCATCCTCAGTACGAGGGCAGCGAGTATAGTGGAGAGGAAACGGTGAGAGAGGGCGACGGACTGGAGATGATGGTGTAGAGGTGGAGGAGGATGGAGAATATGGTGTCGATGGTGAATGAGAGGTGTAGGAGGAAAAGGTGAAACATGAGGCACATAGCAAGGTGTATCGGGAAGGAGAAGAAAAGAAATGTCGTCCATAGAGAACCTCGAGGAAGAAGGACGTGGGTAGTAAGAGCGAGACTCGTCAAAGGTCACATCACGTGAGATGCGCAAGCGATGACCAACAGGGTCCCAACAGCGATAGCCCTTGTGCTCATCACTGTATTCAAGGAAAACACACTCAACCGACTGAGCAGTCAGTTTGGTGCGCTCGCGCAGGGCAAGAAGGACGTAGCACACACATCCAAACATAGGAAGAGCTGAGTAGTCAGGAAAGGGACCAGAGAGACACTCCATAGGAATACCACACTGCAGAGCAGTCGATGGCTGAATGTTGATGAGATAGGTGGATGCAGAAACAGCCTCAGCCCAAAAATGGGGCGGAAGGGAGGGGGCAATCATCAGCGCACGAGCCGTCTCAAGCAGATGACGATGCTTACGTTCGGCAACGCCATTCTGAGCATGAGCACCAGGACAGAAGAACTGGGCAAGGGTACCCTGTTCTGCGAGAAAGCCACGCAACAGCTGGGAGATATACTCTCCAACGGAATCAGCATGAAAAGTACGAACAGGCATGGAAAGCTGAGTGTGAACCATGGCAGCAAATCGTTTGTATATTGAGAGAACCTCGCTACGAGATTTCATGAAGTAGAGCCAAGTGTAGCGAGAGAAATCATCAATAAACAAAACATAGTGGCGATGACCACCTTTCGAATCAAAGGGGGCTGGACCCCAGACATCAGAATGAACTAAATCAAAAGGATGCTGAGATACCGACTGACTGGTAGGATAAGGTAACTGGGTCTGTTTTCCAAGTCTACAACCATTACAAGATGAAGAAACATCTCCAGATACAGACCCTAATAGGCCCTGACGCACTAAGGAAGATAAGCGAGAGCTACAGAGGTGACCAAGGCGATGATGCCACTGCTGGAAGGACGCAGACGAAGAGGCGGCAAGAGCATGAGAGCTGACTGAAGTGGTGGCAGTGGAAGGAACACAAAGCCAGTCAACTTCCCAGAGACCCTCGGACTCACGGCGCCGGGGGCTAGTACCAACCAAAACCTTGGTGGCACGATCTTGAATGGAGCAAGAATCGGTACCAAGAATGACCCGACAACCAGAATCAGTAAGTTGGGCAGCACAAAAAAGATTCATGGTAAGGCGAGGAACATGTGAAACACTAGGAACAGAAAAGGATGGAGTGGAAAGAATACCACGACTAGCAACAGGGAGAGAGGTGCCATCGGCAGTAAGAACATTAATAGGAGAATCAAGAGGGCGAAGTGAAGACAGCGCTGAAGAATCAAAGGACATATGAAAGGAAGCTCCAGAATCCAGAACCCACGAAGATGCACCTGGCGGTGTAGATGCCGGCGGTGATGAAGTGGTGGAAGCAGTCACAACAGCAGCAGAACCTGGCGGTGAAGAACCAGAGGAAGCCAGAAGGCGTTTAAGCCGTACAATGTCCTGGTCAGTGAGTGACGGAGTCGAGGAAGATCCAGGAGTCCCACTGGGAGAGGAGCGCGTCTGGTCTCGCTTCTTCTCACGGCAATCGGACTCTGGGTGACTTGGCTGAGAGCAGTAGCCACAGAAGGTGTCACGGCGCGACCGGCCCTTCTCAGCATAAGAAGGGCGACCCACTCCCCCTGAAGGTGTAGGTAGGAGCGGTGGAGCAGCCAACACAGACGGAACCGCCAACAACCCCGCAGTGCGAAGGCGGGTCTCCTCAGCACGAAGCTCGGCAAGAACCTCCGAGGGAGGAACACGACCACGAGCAAGCAAGTGGGCACGTCGAGGCTCGAACTCAGAGCGGAGACGAGATAAGAACTCATGAACCCACTGAAACTCCAAATCGGGCTGTGTAATCTGACAGCAACGGCAAGTTCCACAAACGATGGTCCGAAGAGAGTCAAGCTGACGCCAGATGGCAGAGCACTGTGAATAGAACTCATCAATAGAGGAATCACCTTGCTGAAGTGCGTGCTCGTGACGCACCACAGATAGGTAGAGAGCATCACCACAGGGCTGATAGCGCTGACAGAGATAAGACCACATCGCTGCAACTGTGGCAAGTCCCATGAACTCCGAAGCAAACTGAGGGAGGACACTCGCAGTGAGAACATCAGCAGCACGAGCATCATCATTGCACCACTGAGTGTAAGCAGACAGATCATCGCGGTACACAGAAAGAGCATCGGAATAAGCTGATACCTGCTGGTCGTAAGCATCAACGGCAACATCATCGAGAGCCTTGGCTGCATCCCGATCAGCCTGAGAAGCATCAGCAGCAAGTACCGGCGGCACCGGTGGGATTGGGGCCACTGGCGCAACAGGGCATAACGAACAGGGGACCTCGCCAGAGAGAACACCCCACAGAAGAAGACCACGCATATGGATGCGCATAAAGCCCACAAACTCCGCATAGTTGGTGCCATCGAAGATCACCGAACACCTAGGAACAGCGACATAGCCCGAAGAAGACATAACGAGTGCTTCTTTTTCTTTCTCTCCTTCTTTTTGGAAGTCAACGGATGCAGAGACTCGATCTGGATCGAGAGAGGCGGGCAGGGGCGCACGAGACAGCGCTAGCCAGAGGCGGAGACTCGATCTTGATCGAGAGCCCGCAACGCAGCTGCCAGCCGGAGGACCGAACGGGACAACGCCCGCAGCTCCAGCAGGACAGCGCCAGAGGCGACTGGATGGGGCGGGCAGCGCCAAGCGGGACAACGGGCGCAACTCTAGAAGCGGCTGAACGGGGCGGGACGAGCGGGACGGCGGCCGGACGGGGCTGGCAGGACGAGGCAGCGGCCGCAGCAGCCGGTCGGGGCGACAAGGCGAGATGGCGCCGGACGGAGCAGCAGCCGAGCGGGGCGGCTGCGGATGAGTCGGCCGGATGGGACAGCGTCCAGCTGGAGGAGCAGCAGAGCGGGGCCGGAGAGACAGCGGCTGGACGGCCGGAGACGAGCAGGCTAGGAACGAGGGGCACGGAGTTGCGTCGTGCGGGAGGAAGGGGCTAGCCTAGCATCTGATACCATGTTGGATAATCAGCAACTGGACTTTACTGAGGGCCAAAGGCCATTACATATATATGTGAGGTAAAGTGCATGAAACCCCTTATATGATGGGGATATACCGAAAAGAGACTATACACATCTAACAGCAACATCTCCAACAACATTTAGTAACTATCACATTGTCATTTACTCTTTTTTTATATATGATCTTTATGGATGATCATTAGTCATCTGAATTGCTTGTTCTGTAATAAACAGGTATATTCCATCTGCAAGGGAATGCCCTTTGTATTTGCAGCTTCCAGATGGGGAGCTTTCGAAAACTAATGCATTTATTTCCCCAGTAAGTACTATGCACCTTTCGTGTGTTGTACATCTTGCCATTTTTCTTAATAGTGTTTTTTTTTGGAAAAACTTTCAATCTATTCATCTTCAATCATGGCAGTACAACGAATACCAGATAAAAATTACATCCAAATTCGTAGACCACCTAGCGACGACTACAAGCACCGAAGCGAGCCGAAGGCGCGCCTCCGTCATCGCCCCTCCATCGCCGGAGCCGGGCACAACTTGTTGTAGTAGATAGTCGGGAAGTCGTCGTGCTAAGGCCCCATAGGACCAGCACCCCAGAACAGCAACCGCCGCCGATGAAAAATAACGTAGATCGGAAGGATCCAAACCGAAGACATACGAACGTAGACGAACAACGACGAGATCCGAGCAAATCCATCAAAGATAGATCTGCCGGAGACACACCTCCACACGCCCACCAACGATGCTAGACGCACCGCCGGAACGGGGGCTAGGCGGGGAGACCTTTATTCCATCTTCAGGGAGCCGCCGCCGTTTCGCCTTCCTGAGTAGGACAAAAACCCTAACAAGATTGAAAAAAACGACTAAAAACGGAGCCCTCCCGCCGGCCCTTGTCAGGATCCACCGCGCCTCCATGGCCCTAGGGCCACCGAGACGAGGCGGACCTGCGCCGGCGCCGGCGAGAGGCACAAACCCTAACTTTCTTTCTTGGAGGAGGAGGAGGAGGTGGAGGAGGAGCCCTATAGAACTTGTGCCTACTAGTACGTCTCTTTGGAACCCACCGGGCTGTTCACTTGGTTCAAAGAAGACACATGGGACTTGGAGACAAATGCCATCACAGGTGTGTAGAATTCATCATCTTTTGTATCTCTTGATACTAGAAAATCTGGAGGGCACTAGGAATGGTCTGCATGATACAGAAAAATACAATGAAGCAAAATGTTCCCTCCAGGAAAAAGAAAATGTTATATTTAATCCTCTGAACTCGTATTCGCTGAATTAACTAATTATTGGAAGCCTCTTTGGCTTAGCATAGACTGCTCATTTCTTTTGTTAAGATTCAAGGTAAATGAAACTATCTATTTTTGTAGAAATGCATTGAATTCAGAGTGATTTTAGGTATAGAACTAAGAGCACTGGCAGTTAGTGATCTCCTCAAACTACAAAAGTAGTTTGAGACTTTCAGTTATTATTAATAGCAAAGGTTCTGAAGCATGAAAATATTACTGTTAGATGCTATGATATTTACATCACGCATCCATCTATTGAGAAAATTAACTCAAACAAAAACACATGCTCTCCTGAGATTATGTATGAGAATTTCAACCACGAGATACCAATAGAAGATCCTAAAAAGTCGCTAAATATGGCAAAAATGTTGACCTCCTGAACTGTTAGCAGTACAACCCAATATATCAATTTAGTTTACCAACTGTATACATAACAATGGCACAAAAAAAAATTGTATACATAGAAACAAACATCGACATGCATGACTCTGTATGGACTAACATATATCGCTAACATGAAAAGTGAGTGCATATATCACCCCAATCTCAGTATGCAGCAAGTAAGTAAAGCTAGTTGCAAACATATACCGTCAAGGCATGAGGTTACGACTGTTCTGTTCAACCCCGTTGTAATCATGCAGAAATGGACGCCACTTCAAAGCAGAAACGTTGAGCTTTTCCCTTCATAGTATTCTGAAGGAACAACCCAGGTGGACGCAAGAGTACCTATGGATCCATCATTCTACCCACATCAGTTCTGAAACACAAAATCATTCTACCCACTAGATTTCAAACCGAGTAGCCAGACTCAGATACAATCATGTTGGCATGTTTCTACAAAGGAATCTAAGATTAACCAACCTACCATCTTATCATATTTGTCTACACCTACCGACGAAAACCATCTCACCAACTGCCATGCCGATTGGCATTATCCTATTTAGCAGCCATTGTTGACGGGTGGATAACACCTTTGAAAACGTCTGCATGTTGGACATTTTTGAGATTTAGCAACTACCAAGTTGTCAAAAGAGGACAGAAGGTCTAAATTATTGCTGGGAAATGAAAGTGACGGGACATAAACAGCGATTTAGGAGTTGTTGGAGTATTAGCACACCACCTGCAACTGGCAAAAGGCAATAATGCAAGACCAAAAATTGTATATATGGACCAGGCTACTGCTACTTGCCAACCAAACCAAGAGGGGCATGGCAATGGGGGTCATGAGTTTCCTATGGTCATTGCCAGCCGTCCTGATGATCGTCACGGTGATCGCCAGCGATGAGGCTGCGTTGCTTGCTTTTAAAGCACAAGTCAGCGATGGCAGCTCGCTGGCCTCCTGGAACAGCAGTGCTGATTTCTGCAGCTGGGAAGGCGTGACATGCAGCCACCGGAGGCCCGCGCGGGTGGTGGAGCTGAGCTTGGACAGCAGAGCGCTCGTCGGAGTACTCTCCCCAGCCCTAGGGAACCTCACGTTCCTGCGGATGCTCAACCTGAGCTTCAACTGGTTCCATGGGGAGATTCCAGCAAGCCTCGGCCGCCTCCGTCGCCTACAGAGGCTAGACTTGAACGACAACTCCTTCTCCGGCAAGTTCCCTGTAAACCTGAGCTCCTGCATCAGGCTGAACAAAATGGGACTACACAACAACAAGATTGGCGGCCACATCCCAGCTGAGCTCGGCGAAAAGTTCATATCCCTGGCAGTGATCTCGCTGAGGAACAATAGTTTCACAGGTCCCATCCCGGGGTCAATGGCCAATCTGTCCTATCTACGATATCTTGATTTCTCTGACAACCAGCTAGTTGGTTCAGTCCCACCAGTGCTTGGAAGCATCGAGACCATGCGATTTTTCAGGCTCTCCCAAAACAACCTCTCTGGTATGCTTCCACCTTCTCTCTACAACTTGTCGTCGGTGGAATATTTTGATATAAGTCACAATATGTTTTATGGAAGCATTATGGATGATATCGACAACAAGTTCCCCAAGATAAATGGTCTTTACTTGAGTAATAATTACTTCGCGGGGACCATCCCTTCCTCAATATCTAATCTATCTAACCTCATACAACTCGACCTGGGGTTTAATAGATTTAGTGGGTATGTGCCTCCCACATTGGGGAAGTTGCGAGCACTCCAAGATCTCCATTTGTCTGGCACTAAGCTTGAAGCAAATGATAACAAAGGGTGGGAATTCATCACTTCTTTGGCAAACTGCAGCCAGTTGGGCTTCTTGGCACTTGGCGGCTACTCTTTCGAAGGATTGCTGCCAGCTTCAGTTGCTAACCTCTCGACGACTCTTCAAGAGTTATACTTACTGGACAGTCGGGTCTCTGGAGTTATTCCTGCAGACATAGGCAATTTGGTTGGTCTCACCAGGCTTGCAATAGCAAACAATTATATCTCCGGAGTGATCCCAGAGAGCATCGGTAAGCTGGAAAACCTGATTGAGCTAGCCTTGTATAACAATAGCTTGTCTGGCCTCATACCGCCGTCAATAGGGAACCTTTCACAGTTAAACAGGCTTTATGCATACTATGGAAACTTGGAGGGGCCCATTCCAGCAAGCCTGGGGGAGCTGAAAAACCTATTCTTACTTGATTTGTCAACAAACTACAGACTTAACGGTTCAATACCCAGAGAGATTTTGAAATTATCTGGCCTTTCTTGGTACTTGGACTTGTCATACAATTCCCTTTCAGGACCCCTTCCTAATGAGGTTGGTAGCTTGGCAAACCTCAACCAACTGATTCTATCAGGAAATCAGTTGTCTGGCAAGATACCGGATAGTATTCAGAATTGCATAGTCTTGGACTGGTTATTATTAGACAATAATTTGTTCGAGGGGAGCATACCTCGATCACTGACAAATATAAAGGGGCTCAGTAAACTGAATCTGACCATGAATAAGCTCTCTGGTAATATTCCCGAGGCCCTTGCTAGTATTGGAAACCTGCAGGAACTGTACCTAGCACACAATGACTTTTCTGGATCAATCCCGGCAGTTCTACAGAATTTGACTTCATTGTCCAAATTGGATCTATCCTTTAATAATTTGCAAGGTGAGGTGCCAGATGGAGGTGTTTTCAGAAACATCACTTATGTAGCAGTTGTTGCTGGGAATATCAATCTGTGTGGTGGTAGACCTCAACTTCACTTGGTTCCATGTTCCACAAGCCGCATTAGCAAGAATAGAAAAAGGAAGTTGAAGTCTCTTGTAATTTCTCTAGCAACAGCTGGAACAATCTTGTTGTCACTTTCGGTTATTGTTCTTGTTTGGATACTTCGTAGGAAGCTCAGACAAAGCCAGAAGACACTAGTGCAATACTCAGTTGCTGAGAACCATTATGAAAGAATCCCCTATCATGCATTATTGAGAGGAACTAACGAATTTTCAGATATTAACTTGCTTGGGAGAGGAAGTTACGGTGCAGTTTATAAGTGTGTTTTGGAAAATGAGGACAGAACATTGGCTATCAAGGTGTTTAACCTCGGTCAATCCAGGTATTCCAAGAGTTTCGAGGTTGAATGTGAAGCCATGAGAAGGATACGACATCGTTGTCTCATAAAGATCATTACTTCTTGTTCAAGCATCGACCACCAAGGTCAAGAGTTCAAGGCATTGGTGTTTGAGTTCATGCCAAATGGTAACTTGGATGGTTGGCTCCACCCAAAATCTCAAGAGCCCACTACAAACAACACGCTCAGCCTTGCCCAGAGGCTTGATATTGCTATCAATATTGTGGACGCAGTAGAATATCTGCACATCTATTGTGAACCATCGGTAATCCATTGTGATCTTAAGCCAAGCAACATTCTTCTTGCTGACGACATGAGCGCCCGCGTTGGAGACTTTGGCATATCAAGGATCCTTCAAGAAAATACAAGCGAGAGGGTGCAAACTTCATATAGCACAATTGGGATAAAAGGTTCCATTGGCTATGTTGCTCCAGGTAATTGAAATATCTTCTGATTTTATCTTTACTTCGCACGCAGATATGGCATTCTAACCACGAAATGTTGCATAATTGCAGAGTATGGAGAAGGCTCTGTGGTCTCAACTCACGGTGATATTTATAGTCTTGGCATATTGCTGCTTGAGATGTTCACCGGAAGGCGCCCAACAGATGACAGGTTCACAGATTCATTGGGTCTGCATAAGTTTGTTGAGGATGCTCTTCAAGATAGAACCCTGGAGGTAGCTGACCCAACAATCTGGCTGCACAACGAACAACATGAGAACAATACTATTAGAACACAGAAGTGCTTGGTTTCAGTGTTGAGGC